GGCGCTATCGAGATTAACAAACTTAATTACACAATATTTGTATCGTCACTCCTGCGGCGGGAGTCGGTACAATGCTCCTGAGCCCATTCATCCATGTTTGTCGCGTCTACAGCATGGTGTTGTTAGCGCAAGTCACATCGCTTAAGCTGTTTAGTAACGACAAAAAGCAAATTTAAACACGTCATCATGTTGTTCTGACAAGAAGTAATACATTTAAACACGTCATGTTTGTTGTCCAAACGAATCTTGGCGGGAAAAGCGGCAGTCTGGCCCTCCTAAAACCCCACTAGCGATACACGTACGTTCTGTCTGCACGCTTTTTAATCGTTGACCGGTACGTAAGTAAACACCCTATCTAAAAAAAGCAACTTTTTGTAAAGAAAAGAAAAGCGTAACAGGTTTACTATCAAACCGCGTTTGTCGGTGGGTAGTTGGCGGGTGCTCTGGTGTGGTTTGCTTCTTCTTTCCTATCAAACGTCTATCGTCCTTATCTCCCTTTCTTCTTTTTTATGTTTGTTACTCTCTTGTAACACCTCTATCTAATCTTCAGGCGCTTACATGACCTTATACAGTTGCGAGCGCCGTAAAACCTTTACTAAAACGATGCGTTTGTCGTAAGACACACATTTCTACCTACGGTTTATCGGCCGTTTGTGTTAGTATATCCACAGCCCTATCGTTTTGACACGAAGTGTACCTCGGTTTACAACAAGCTACTATCACCATCACATACACCTATCTTTCTTTCTAAAGAAATATAATATTATAAGCTTACTATCGTATCTGGAGATACGACGCTTTCCACCCCTGCCCTGAAAAGGTGTGAGCCTACAACAATATTTGGCAAACACGTTGGAGTTAAGATTACGGGGAAATGTTTTAATACCCTTTGCACCGCCACCAAAATCCTAGTTTTTGCCGCCACCAAAAACGCTGTTTCGCGACATTTTAATGACAGTACTATTGTAGTCGCAGTACAATAAACGTTGACATTGGGTCTGTTGAACTACTGTTCGTTTGCCCTGAAGTAAGTCGTTTGTGACGAGAACCTCCAGAAGTCAACAATACCTCAGAATTGAATGTGGCGTCAGTGGCCTAGTG